TTTTGCACACTCGGACGCAACGGTTCCCATGATGACCACCAACAAGTGCGACGTGCTTTGGACAGCCGTTGGATACACCTGCTAATCTATCTGGAGCAACGTTCAGAAATCAATTTGTATCAGATTTGTTTGATATTTGAATATAACTTTATAGTGAGAATTCATTTATTTCTTGTATTCATACTGTTATTAGTGTTATGTTGTTTAACAGAATATGTGATGGAATAGGCTCAGGGCTTCGAAACCGTATTAAGCATGTAATCCAAATCAAATAATTATCATCAACCCTTAATGATATATAAAAGAGGTCTAGGTGACAATTAGGAAATTAGCAACGCTGTCACCTATAATTTCCCAAAAGAACTTAACTAAATAAAGAATCAACGAAGCTGCATCTTCCTCCATGGACCATGATGCCCTGTCAAATGTAATATAATTGCTAAAGTAATCTAAATCATAATGCTATAATTATGAATAGATTTCTATCACTAAGGTCACGCTGGATCAATGAAAAGAAATTTTACTAAGGTCTTCCAACTCTCCATTTCTTAGTTACACTATTAACAGCAAACACTAGAATTAATTAATTAATGAATTAATTAATTTAACACTAAATTAAGAGAAGAGGTGTATGCAGGTCCTTCTCCTGGGCCCCTCAGAACATATTGCATGAAAGATGACATTTTTCTTGTTGCGTAATATATGCCCTAACATTTTCCATAGACTACGGCCCACTTGGGCTGACAGGAGTTCAGTGTTCACTGGCATATCTTAGGTGAATAACTTTTTACTGGTTTTTGCAACAGCTGGATAATCTAATCAGGATATGTTAATCATATTTTCACGAACACGTGACCTTAGGTGATATTAAAATAGTGAATAGTGCTAATGGTAGTGTCGGTCCTGCTCCTGTGCTCGGGCCTGTGCTGGAGTTGGGAGATGGGATGATACTGGCGAATGGAGATGGGTAGATTCTGGAACCTTTCCGGGGAAGGCGTTAAAGATTACAAATGTAGCTGACTGTAATTTCGTGAGTGCCCCTATTATTACAGCTACTGCTAGATCTTGAGCATATAATGATTTGTGTCCTTCAATCGCCGTTCGAAGCCTTTTCTCCAGAAAGTTTTTTGCATACTCGGTGGAAGACACAACCGCTACCAAGATGTGGACAAGCAAGTGTGACGTTTACTGGACAGCCTTTGGTTACACCTGCTAAACTATCCGGAGAAACGGTCGGAAATTAATTTGTATCATATTTGTTTGAATACCTTTATATAGCGAGAATTCGTTTATTTCTTGTATTCTTATTGTAGTTTGAGAAGATAGGTGATTGAACAGGCTCAGGGTTTTAAAACCTTATTTAGAATTAAATCTCTTATCCTTTTAACAAAATATCATACAATCAACAGGTTAGGGAAAATCTTTAATCAAAAACCATATTATGTAGGGTTGACTGTTTCCAAAATTAAAACTCTATATGGTTTGTATTCTGGGTATTAAAAAAAAAAAAAAAAAAAAAAAAAAAAATTATCTTTATCCCGGTTGTTGCGACAAGTAAAAATGCTCTTATTAGGGAAAGGAGATTACTCGACGTTTCAATGTAACTACATCGTATTCATGATCTAAAAACAAGTGTTAAAAATTCAAAACGTAAAAAACGTATATCTGAGGTAAAATTTGTGTACATTAATTTATTTTTAATCAATCAACTTTTATCCAAAAATTCGATACAAAAAAGTCATAACAAAATTCATAACAAAATTAGTTTTATACGACGACAAACTTTTATAGTAAATACTGTACATTCCTAAAACTACTACTAAATATACTACACATGATACAGAAGCATGGAGTGCTACAACGGTGAACAGGTGCATGATGTGAAGTGTGTAGGTATGTATCTAGTGTGGAGTGAAAATGGCGGGAATCGTACTGACCAATGAGAAGTGTGAAACGTGGGAGCCTAATATGGTTTGATTGATGTTATAAGGGTTAGTGTGTTGAATAGGAGGCGGAAGTGTGCGTGTGTGAGATGTGGTCCCTGTACTCAGAAAGTAAACAAAACCTATAAATATCACTAAATATCACTACATATAATATGGTTTGTTAAATTATTCTTATCAGTATAACGATCTGATTATCACTCTCAAATGTTGAGATGACTCTTATTTTAGTTGAGCTGTTTTCTGACTTCTTTGCCTTGTTTTTGTCAAAGTTAGGCAGAATTAGTCTACAATTCAATCTAAAGTAAATCATCATCGACCCTTACAGTAATTTAAACTTCACTGTGTACTCCGTACAAGACGTAACACCCCCTAAAATGTTAACAACGGGCGCAAGAGTTGTATTCAGTACCTTAGCAGGTGAATTGTGGATTATTTTACTGACACAACAGCTGGATAATCATGGCATGTTAAGTGAAGGTATGTTAATCATACATATTTTGAAGAATATAACTTACTTTAATGGTGTTTCCTAAGTTTTCTCGTTGTTTTTTTCTTATGTTTCCCTCTTGTTAATTTGCTGGGACGTGTATTCAGACCCCTACAAATAAACTCGAAGATTCTTCTAGGAGTCACGTCCCTGTACGCTCTACTGCACCATGCTAACCCCGCTAATAATCACTGATCACTCTGATTCTAGTTCCAGCTCTGCAAGATGAACTGAAAATACTGGATACTCCTGATGGTACTATTGGTCCAGCTCCCTGTGCTCTCACCTGCTCTATTGTAGGGAGATGGGACGAAATCGGAGACTTTAATTGGAGAACGTCATTAACAAATCCAGGGAAAGTGATAAAGTATCTCAACATTTATGACTGTTCACTGTGGTGAGTGTGGGTTTGCTTCAGCACCTGTTGCTATAGTGACAACTAAAGGATATTTTTCAGTGTGTTCCACGGTCAGTGTGTTTTATGTAAGCAGTTCTGAGGTTAACATCTACACCGTGGAAGACAGTACAGCCGACAAGTTGAAGGAGGACAAGTGCAGTGTCTACTGGTCAGCTTTTGGTTATACTTGTTGAGGACACACTCCTTAGATTCCCTTTGTCATGTGTTTTTGCCTTCTTGAGTGGGTCGATCATTTCCTCCTTAGTTATCAATCATTATTACCTTGTGAACTTAGAATCAATTTAAAAAATTTAACAATTTCATATTTTGTTTATTTCTTGTCCGAAAGTTTAATTTGGTGATGCTACGTCATGTATAATTTAGTAAAACTAATTAACAGCGGTCTACGCAATGCTTTAAAAGAGACCCCTCCTCCTCTATCTTCGTATTCCTGTCCGTTTCTTAATATCTAATTTCCTGAACGAAAAATTGTGAGATAACGAAAACAGTGAATATTCGTAACTCAATCTTGATTTGAACGATACAGGATCGGTACCCTGGTTGCTGATAAGGTTCTATTTAGGTCGTGCATGTACACAAATGGGACGTTTTTTAAACGGTTTAATTAAGTTTGAATATATATCAGACAGTAGGATTACTAAACACTCAACTAGGTGGTTTTTGTTGGGGTATATAAGACATAGTTTATATAATATCAGGTTCGAGCTCATTCCTGATACTCTTTAGTGGCAGATTCTGGTTATTTTAACCACAAATACGTGTTTTTTAAATTGTTTAAATTCCAGCTCTGTGCTGCGATTGTATGTGTCAGTATCCAGTTTTTAAATATACGTATCAACACTCTCTGTAATCACGTACAACATGTAACGATGTAACATGAATACAGCTATGTACAATATAATACTGCCCTGATCCGATGAAGCTTTAGAGTAGTTCGTTCATCTTAGCTCCTTGATTTCAGGATTTACACAGGACCCTGTATTTATCTTAGCTCCTTAATTTCAGGATTTACAAAAGACCCTGTATTTATCCTAGCTCCTTAATTTCAGGATTTACAAAAGACCCTGTATTTAACCTAGCTCCTTAATTTCAGGATTTACAAAAGACCCTGTATTTATCCTAGCTCCTTAATTTCAGGATTTACAAAAGACCCTGTATTTATCCTAGCTCCTTAATTTCAGGATTTACACAAGACCCTGTATTTATCCTAGCTCCTTAATTTCAGGATTTACACAGGACCCTGTATTTATCTTAGCTCCTTAATTTCAGGATTTACAAAAGACCCTGTATTTATCTTAGCTCCTTAATTTCAGGATTTACAAAAGACCCTGTATTTATCCTAGCTCCTTAATTTCAGGATTTACAAAAGACCCTGTATTTATCTTAGCTCCTTAATTTCAGGATTTACACAGGACCCTGTATTTATCTTAGCTCCTTAATTTTAGGATTTACAAAAGACCCTGTATTTATCTTAGCTCCTTAATTTCAGGATTTACAAAAGACCCTGTATTTATCCTAGCTCCTTAATTTCAGGATTTACAAAAGACCCTGTATTTATCTTAGCTCCTTAATTTCAGGATTTACACAAGACCCTGTATTTATCCTAGCTCCTTAATTTCAGGATTTACACAGGACCCTGTATTTATCTTAGCTCCTTAATTTCAGGATTTACAAAAGACCCTGTATTTATCTTAGCTCCTTAATTTCAGGATTTACAAAAGACCCTGTATTTATCCTAGCTCCTTAATTTCAGGATTTACAAAAGACCCTGTATTTATCTTAGCTCCTTAATTTCAGGATTTACACAGGACCCTGTATTTATCTTAGCTCCTTAATTTCAGGATTTACAAAAGACCCTGTATTTATCTTAGCTCCTTAATTTCAGGATTTACAAAAGACCCTGTATTTATCCTAGCTCCTTAATTTCAGGATTTACAAAAGACCCTGTATTTATCCTAGCTCTTTAATTTCAGGATTTACAAAAGACCCTGTATTTATCCTAGCTCTTTAATTTCAGGATTTACAAAAGACCCTGTATTTATCCTAGCTCCTCAATTTCAGGATTTACAAAAGACCCTGTTTTTATCCTAGCTCCTTAATTTCAGGATTTACAAAAGACCCTGTATTTATCCTAGCTCCTCAATTTCAGGATTTACACAGGACCTGCAAGGAGATGCACACTAGGATGGTAGAACTGTTATCTCAAGTGGAAGAGGAGGGTTTGGTTTGTCAACTTCTGGATCTCATTGACAAACTCAACAACTCTTTTATTAGGTTCCGTTAACATTTCATTGACAAACTCAACAACTCTTTTATTAGGGTCCGTTTACATTTCATTGACAAACTCAACAACTTTTTTATTAGGTTCCGTTAACATTTCGTTGTTGATTTTTAGTGTTGCTGCAGAGCGTAAACATTGTTTTTGCATAAATCATGATATTATAACCTAGAATAAATGATCTTGTTGCTGAAAACAAAGATCCATCTTGACTTGTCCTAGTTTTGGCTAAGTTTGCCATCTTCACACTCCCTTATCCTGCAGGTATGATCGTTACGAGCGCAACGTGACAATGGCAGCTCCCGCCGCTGTAACCGGTGGTCCAGCCCCACTCCCACAACCCGCAACTCAACCTGCTACACAACCACAACCTGCACCTGCAGCACAACAGCAGGACCAAGAACCCGCAGGAAACATCTACGCAGCGCCCGAACCCCAGCGTAGATCTGATATCGAGGAGTTGCTGTCATTAAGTGTACCCACCCCCACAACTCAGTCGACAAGTAAGGGAGGGGATTTATTCAAATTATTCTTTATACAGTAGTTATTCGCTGACTTATTGATATACTATGCTTATCTTTTGTTGTGGTGTAACTCAAAAAGTGTTGAAATGGTGGAGGATAACATTGAATAACGCAATAAACCAATCCATACTGTTGATTATGTGTAAATTAAATGTTACAGATCCATTCCAAGAGTTTGTAAATGCTCCAGTTTCTCGCCTACCCCCGGTTAGCGGCCAAGAGGACGATGAAAATATCTACACCACAGCTCCCGCTAAAATACCAGCCAAGCCAACTGAAACGGTATGTTCCGTCCAATCGCGTAATTTTAACGTTCATGAAAATTTAAATTCTTCGCTCTTTAAAAAAAATGTTTGATGCTATCTAGCTATAGACTATAGTAGTGTATAGAATAGTTTGCGTCTCGAGGGATATAATTTAGCAAATTCTCAAGTATGACTGCATCTAATTCAATTTTAAACACATATGGTATGGGAGTGTAACAGTTATGTTTCTTTCTTCAATGACACTGCAGGAATTTGCGAGTGTTTATGAGTATCATGATAGGAATATTCGTAGCGCTCCCTTGAATCCTTTCCAAGTGAGTCTTCAGTGGATTAAATGAGATGCTTCATGAATTGACGTGGTCTGTTTTCAGATAAAAGGAATGATTTTTCTTGATTAATGTCTGATTTGCTGACCAATCGCTGGTGAATGTTATCACTGATTATTGCTGTGTTTTACTGCAGTGGTTTAATGTTTTGAGGCATGATTTGGAGATTCAGCCTCATCTTTTTTTGTCATGTGATAAGACCCCCTTTGGCCTACATTATTGTCCTTCTTGGCAGAATTCATAAACCTGAGTTTTAACACCTAATCAGATCTGAAGCTGATAAAAACAGTTTTCGGGTAACTGGGTTGATCTTGGCATATTAACACTTAACGTTGGTAATACGTCACTAATATATGATTGTTGGATCCAGGTTTGAAATTTGAATTAAATGTATGAGTAGAATAATGTAAACATGTAACTGGCACCGCCACCGATTGTATCGGGAAGTCAAGAACCTTTTTGTAGCGCGCATGAAAATTATTATCAAGCTAATGGCGCTGAGCACGTGGATTCTTTTATTTTATAAATATAATTTCGTTCATTTAATTGCATTTACTGTACTGTATAGTATATATTATACTATATATACTCGATATATATATAGTATATATATATATATATATACTATATATATATATCGAGTTGTTTTTCTTTTGGATTTAATTAGTTGATTTATAAATGTTATAGCTCTGGACTCTCTTTATTTGATAATGCCTTTTAGAAATCTAAATTTGGATTTATTATTGAAAATGTGTTCAGGAAGATATACACGTTTCACTGGAGAGCAACATGGCTAATCTCAGTGCGTCAGGGAATAACGCAAATGACGAGTTTGATATGTTCGCTCAGTCTAGAAGTTCAACGCTATCCGATCGAGCTCAAGCGTAAGTTTCAATAATTATCTCAATTCCCTAAGGGAATCTGAGACATGTTAACATGTAGACTGAAGATATAAAAGTAATGTTTTCATGATACTATGTTCTTGTGTTTTAACTTTAGATTAACAAACCTTGGATTCCTAACTCTGTTCTAACTACAGTTAAGAATTCTTCAGATTTGGTGACCCCTCAAATTCACGCTACTCAGCTCCTTCGTAACTTTAATTTAGATGTAATTAGTAATACCCGGATGGGAACATTATTCATGAGTTGCATTGTTGTGATGTTTGTTTAATTCAGAATAATATCTGTAATTTTCCAGCTCCGGAAGTGAAGTGGCGTATGAGGCTGCTCACGACGTGCCTCAAGAGGGGTCCCTAGCAGGGGCTGTACATTCAAGGTAACAATTGTTTGATATCCTTTAAATTTGATGTTTACTTTACATTGATATTACCTAATTCAGAAAATAAGGCATAGAAATGATTTCACTCTCAATATAATAATATAACATGTGGATTGTGTGAACAAAGAACAACATGTATATAAGGATTAAAATGGACACAATTTAACTTAGAATCTAACCGTAGGGCCTTGAGACCCAAGCTCTACCCGCATCTGTAAGGATGGTTTTTTTAAATGCTGTTTGAGTTGAATTCCAGAATTTTAGTTCATCTCAAAAATTGGTTTTTTTCTCAGCTTACCTTGAGCAATGAGCATGTTTGAAAGCCCAGGATTATCCTACAACATTCTTAAGTTTATTTTCTAATTTTTATAACAATCATCCAAATCTTTCAACCCCCACAATTCATTTATTAACAAAATTACAAATTGAACAATCCCGGCAACTATTTTGTATTTCAATCTCTTGAATAAGTTTATTTCAGTATAAATGAACCTACGGACGGGTAATTGTATAGAAAATAGCTGTAAGAAGTTAAATCTCGTTGTTGAATGTTTTGTGAAAGACAATCGAGAAATCGCAATATGTCACAATTCTCTGAGTGACGAATCTGCTTTTCTGTTATTGTTACAATTCCTCTCCTTTGCATAGTGTACCTTCATTTATGTTACAATCTTATCTTTCATGTATATTCATTATTTATGGCTGTTAATAATAAGTGGTCTTACTTACTTAATTCTGAGTTTGCTATGCTGAATGAAAGCATATAATAATGTTTTCAACCCTGCACTCTTTTTGACAGGAAAACGGAATACACAAAACTCCACCATCCTTGAAATTTGTTAATTGTTTAAAATGAATATAGCTGGTGGTTACTGAATAAAAAATAACCACTAAACCATGACACACTTTTATTTTCTAATACCATGTTCTCTTCCCCAGATCACCGGTAGATCCGACAGATGACCACTGGTTACATGAGCTCAATACTGTGGAGTCTACATCTCAGGCTATGTCAAATGAAGGTAACTTTTACTCTTTACAATGAAGGTAAACTTGTTGTTAAATGGAATGTTGTAAAAATATGTTCATACCTAAACCATGCGTGTCATGATCCTCTTTAGGTACACTTAATTGAACGTGAACAACTATTGCGTTGAGGACTATAATTTTCACTGAAACTAAACTTACCATAGTGTTTGTACTTATGGTGGAAGTTAATTTAACTTGATCGTGCCGGTGGATTCAGTAGAGCAGTTTTACTGAATTTATATACATTATATATGTATGCAGTACAAAATGTAAATCTATCAAAATATTAAAATAAAAACAATACCTCAAACAATACCTCAATTTATCATAAAACAATCCAAAACACCTGTTACGAATAGAAAATAGTCCTTTCAACAGTTCAAATAACAATCAGTCACAGAGTTTATGACCTTTTTGTAATTGAGAATGAAGTAAACATCGTCTTAACATTTTACTCATTTTCTTCTAAGATGTATGGGGTTCTACAATCTACATAGACAGTAGACACGTGACCAAATTACCTTCGAGAAGTAGATCCTGGGCACGTAATTCCAACAGGAATCATTGGCTAAATTTTCCACAATTCACCATATCAAAAGCTCAGTGTTCTTGAAACATCTGATCGCAGTTGTAACTTGTAATTCGTCGAGCATTTCTTCTCCGTTTGAAGGATCAGTAGTTATATTTTATAAATCTCTGTCTATACTGATAGAAAACAAACAAGCACATTACTACACCAAGAACTATGGCAATAATAAATGCCCGCAGTTTCATGGAGAAACCTTTCTTACCCTTTTTAGTCTCTTCGCCAGAATCGTCCTTGTGATGATCATCGTCCTTGTGAAGGTCAACATCGCCACCTGTTCCACTATCGTCGCCATTCTCATCATTGCCACCATTCTCAACATTGCCATCATTCTCAACATCACCACTATTCTCAGCATCGCCACCATTCTCAACATCACCATTATTCTCAGCATCATCACCATTCTCAACATCACCACCATTCTCAACATCGCCACCATTCTCAACATCACCACTATTCTCAACATCGCCATTATTCTCAGCATCATCACCATTCTCAACATTGCCACCATTCTCAGCATCATCACCATTCTCAACATCGCCATTATTCTCAGCATCATCACCATTCTCAACATTACCACCATTCTCAACATCACCACCATTCTCAACATTACCACCATTCTCAACATCACCACCATTCTCAACATCACCATTATTCTCAGCAACACCACCATTCTCAACATCGTCACCATTCTCAACATCACCACCATTCTCAACACTTCCACCACCCTCAGCATTACCAATATTCTCAGCATCATCACCATTCTCAACATCGCCATTATTCTCAGCATCATCACCATTCTCAACATTACCACCATTCTCAACATCACCATCATTCTCAACATCACCACCATTCTCAACATCACCATTATTCTCAGCATCATCACCATTCTCAACATCACCACCATTCTCATCATTGCCACCATTCTCAACATTACCACCATTCTCAACATCACCACTATTCTCAGCATCGCCACCATTCTCAACATCACCATTATTCTCAACATCACCATTATTCTCAGCATCACCATTATTCTCAGCATCATCACCATTCTCAACATCGCCATTATTCTCAGCATCATCACCATTCTCAACATTACCACCATTCTCAACATCACCACTATTCTCAGCATCGCCACCATTCTCAACATCACCACCATTCTCAACATCACCATTATTCTCAGCATCATCACCATTCTCAACATCACCACCATTCTCATCATTGCCACCATTCTCAACATTGCCACCATTCTCATCATCGCCACCATTCTCAACATTGCCATCATTCTCAACATCACCACTATTCTCAGCATCGCCACCATTCTCAACATCACCACCATTCTCAACATCACCATTATTCTCAGCATCATCACCATTCTCAACATCACCACCATTCTCAACATCACCATTATTCTCAGCATCATCACCATTCTCAACATCACCACCATTCTCATCATTGCCACCATTCTCAACATTGCCACCATTCTCATCATCGCCACCATTCTCAACATTGCCATCATTCTCAACATCACCACTATTCTCAGCATCGCCACCATTCTCAACATCACCACCATTCTCAACATCACCATTATTCTCAGCATCATCACCATTCTCAACATCACCACCATTCTCATCATTGCCACCATTCTCAACATTACCACCATTCTCAACATCACCACCATTCTCAGCATCGCCACCATTCTCAACATCACCACCATTCTCAACATCGCCATTATTCTCAACATCACCACCATTCTCAACATCACCACCATTCTCAACATCACCATTATTCTCAACATTGCCATCATTCTCAACATCACCACTATTCTCAGCATCGCCACCATTCTCAACATCACCACCATTCTCAACATCGCCATTATTCTCAACATCACCACTATTCTCAGCATCGCCACCATTCTCAACATCACCACCATTCTCAACATCACCATTATTCTCAGCATCATCACCATTCTCAACATCACCACCATTCTCATCATTGCCACCATTCTCAACATTACCACCATTCTCAACATCACCACCATTCTCAGCATCGCCACCATTCTCAACATCACCACCATTCTCAACATCGCCATTATTCTCAACATCATCACCATTCTCAACATTGCCACCATTCTCATCATCGCCACCATTCTCAACATTGCCATCATTCTCAACATCACCACTATTCTCAGCATCGCCACCATTCTCAACATCACCACCATTCTCAACATCGCCATTATTCTCAACATCACCACCATTCTCAACATCACCACCATTCTCAACATCACCATTATTCTCAGCATCATCACCATTCTCAACATCACCACCATTCTCATCATTGCCACCATTCTCAACATTGCCACCATTCTCATCATCGCCACCATTCTCAACATTGCCATCATTCTCAACATCACCACTATTCTCAGCATCGCCACCATTCTCAACATCACCACCATTCTCAACATCACCATTATTCTCAGCATCATCACCATTCTCAACATCACCACCATTCTCATCATTGCCACCATTCTCAACATTACCACCATTCTCAACATCACCACCATTCTCAACATCACCATTATTCTCAGCAACACCACCATTCTCAACATCGTCACCATTCTCAACATCACCACCATTCTCAACACTTCCACCACCCTCAACATCACCATTATTCTCAGCATCATCACCATTCTCAACATCGCCATTATTCTCAGCATCATCACCATTCTCAACATTACCACCATTCTCAACATCACCATCATTCTCAACATCACCACCATTCTCAACATCACCATTATTCTCAGCATCATCACCATTCTCAACATCACCACCATTCTCATCATTGCCACCATTCTCAACATTACCACCATTCTCAACATCACCACTATTCTCAGCATCGCCACCATTCTCAACATCACCATTATTCTCAACATCACCATTATTCTCAGCATCACCATTATTCTCAGCATCATCACCATTCTCAACATCGCCATTATTCTCAGCATCATCACCATTCTCAACATTACCACCATTCTCAACATCACCACTATTCTCAGCATCGCCACCATTCTCAACATCACCATTATTCTCAACATCACCACCATTCTCAACATCACCACCATTCTCAACATCACCATTATTCTCAGCATCATCACCATTCTCAACATCACCACCATTCTCATCATTGCCACCATTCTCAACATTGCCACCATTCTCATCATCGCCACCATTCTCAACATTGCCATCATTCTCAACATCACCACTATTCTCAGCATCGCCACCATTCTCAACATCACCACCATTCTCAACATCACCATTATTCTCAGCATCATCACCATTCTCAACATCACCACCATTCTCATCATTGCCACCATTCTCAACATTACCACCATTCTCAACATCACCACCATTCTCAACATCACCATTATTCTCAGCAACACCACCATTCTCAACATCACCACCATTCTCATCATTGCCACCATTCTCAACATTACCACCATTCTCAACATCACCATTATTCTCAACATCACCATTATTCTCAGCAACACCATCATTCTCAACATCACCACCATTCTCAACATCACCATTATTCTCAGCATCATCACCATTCTCAACATCGCCATTATTCTCAGCATCATCACCATTCTCAACATTACCACCATTCTCAACATCACCACTATTCTCAGCATCGCCACCATTCTCAACATCACCACCATTCTCATCATTGCCACCATTCTCAACATTACCACCATTCTCAACATCACCACTATTCTCAACATCACCACCATTCTCAACATCACCATTATTCTCAGCATCATCACCATTCTCAACATCACCACCATTCTCATCATTGCCACCATTCTCAACATTGCCACCATTCTCATCATCGCCACCATTCTCAACATTGCCATCATTCTCAACATCACCACTATTCTCAGCATCGCCACCATTCTCAACATCACCACCATTCTCAACATCACCATTATTCTCAGCATCATCACCATTCTCAACATCACCACCATTCTCATCATTGCCACCATTCTCAACATTACCACCATTCTCAACATCACCACCATTCTCAACATCACCATTATTCTCAGCAACACCACCATTCTCAACATCACCACCATTCTCATCATTGCCACCATTCTCAACATCGTCACCATTCTCATCGTTTCCACCACTCTCAACATCACCACGATTCTCAACACTTCCACCACCCTCAGCATTACCACCATTCTCAACATCGTCACCATTCTCATCATCACCACCATTCTCATCATTGCCACCATTCTCATCATTGCCACCATTCTCAACATCACCACCATTCTCAACATCACCATTATTCTCAGCATCATCACCATTCTCAACATCACCACCATTCTCATCATTGCCACCATTCTCAACATTGCCACCATTCTCATCATCGCCACCATTCTCAACATTGCCATCATTCTCAACATCACCACTATTCTCAGCATCGCCACCATTCTCAACATCACCACCATTCTCAACATCACCATTATTCTCAGCATCATCACCATTCTCAACATCACCACCATTCTCAACATTACCACCATTCTCAACATCACCACCATTCTCAACATCACCACCATTCTCAACATCACCACTATTCTCAGCATCACCACCATTCTCATCGTTTCCACCACTCTCAACATCACCACGATTCTCAACACTTCCACCACCCTCAGCATTACCACCATTCTCAACATCGTCACCATTCTCATCATTGCCACCATTCTCAACATTGTCATTATTCTCAACATCACCACCATTCTCAACACTTCCACCACCCTCAGCATCGCCACCATTCTCAACATTGCTACCATTCTCAACATTGCCACCATTCTCAACATTGTCATTATTCTCAACATTGCCACCATTCTCAACATTGTCATTATTCTCAACATCACCACCATTCTCAACACTTACACCACCCTCAGCATCGCCACCATTCTCAACATTGCTACCATTCTCAACATTGCCACCACTCTCATCAATGCCACCACTCTCAGCACTTTCACCTGACCCATTGTCGTCACTGTTTCCCTCTACATCTTCGTTTGTTATTTCGTTCCTATCTTCATCAGAGATACTTTCTCTTTTTGTCACAGTTTTAAGATCGTTATCTTGATCGCTGAGACTCTCGTCTGCTTGTGCTCGGTCATACCAGAACACCAGGAATGTAATGAGCGCTAATACTGGGGCTCTCATGGACTGGGAGGAACAAATAACAGAAATAATAACAAATGTAGACGTATTATATATTATATAAAACATTAATCATTACACGAATAAGCAACTATTTAAATAAGATGTATGAAAACTCATAAAATGTATGATGGTGCTTTCTGGTTGGCCGTTGGGCATATAATTACAGTAGCATTCACATTTCACACGCTTTCTATCTTACTATATATAAAGCGGGGGGGGGGGGGGGGAGGGTGGGGATCGGGTACTAAGTTCTGTACGTGACGTCGACTAAGTGTAATTTTGTAATTTTTCAAAAGACCCACCCACCCCCTTCGCGGTACTAACTGTTTTTTCGTATAATAATTAAGACACCTACCCCCTTTTGCCGGCTTTTGCGGTACTAACTGTTGAGAAATCACGGTACTAACTGTGTCTTGGTATATAAAATAAGATACCCACCCAAATTGCTTTAAACAGGTCATTAAACATTGGGAAATGGGCAATTATACCCACTATTCAGTAGGGGTTTTGTTTTCAATGTAGTCGAATTAAAAATACTCATGATTCCCACCCCGGCACCCCCCCCCCCCCCCCCCAATCAACCGTCATCATTTGAAAACCCCCTCCCCCTCGGCTGCACTGATTACTTTATATGTGAACGACCCCTTACAAGCAAACACTAAACCATATTAATCAAACTGATGAAACATCGCCTCATCGAATGATCGAATGTTACACGATACGAAATGAATAATTAACTTATTTCTAATAAATGTTATAATGTTTTGAATCTCCCTGAAATAGCTCACGAGGTCAGACCAGGTCATTTATCTAAAAAACAAAGACATTCTTCCGAGTTAAAAAATTATAAAAACTCTTAGTGTTACTTCGTCGCTTGTTAACTCCATGTTGATCTACAAAAATCAGCAACATCTAATACTTGGTAATAAACATAATACGTTCTTTGCTGATTGGTTTTCAATAATATAACTCGTATGTACAATATATAACTTGTATAATGTATATTTGTCTGGGCAAGTTTCTATGGCAACGTAAAACCAAGAAAATAATTAAAAGAAAGTATTAAAAAGAAGGCAGGCTACTGGGTAGCCACTAACCATGTATTATTTTAGCAACAATTTATCAAATGGTAGTTTACAGAACAGCAAAGCAAATGACATAGAGATAACCTACTAATTATATTAATGTATTTACGATTCCGCTCATTATAACCCAAACTTTAGTTTCTCAGTACAATATTAGCCTCCTCGCAGCAGTATCACATGAGGCCTTTAATATTGATGCCGCGGTGAGGGTAGTGCCACTAAGTTCATGGACAAAAGTGAAAGGTAGAGTTGAGAGTTGACACTCCCTCGAGTACGTTCCGCAGTACGTATTACGTACTTGAGTACGTGTTCTAGATGAACTGCTCGATCATAGACTAGAATCCCGACTAGAATATTATCAGATGGCAGGTTGATAATGCAGCGACTTTTAACACTGTCGATAAATGATTAAGAACAAAAGATGGCATGGTTATTCTTGGATTGTAATCCTTCAACAGATTGAAATCGAGCCACTTTATTCACGATTAAAATTAAAATGATTATTATATTTATAGTTACGGTTAGATGATATTATAGTTTATAAGCATTTTAGCCTATACACACAATGTGTTGGAATATAATGTTGAAAAGTTACAATATTGAGTACATTGCCTCAAGTAAGCTCATCACCAGCTCAACTAGCCCAGTCATCCTGCCCATCTAATTCTATGAGGGGGTAATTGTAGAATTATACATCTTGAATTGTCATGGAACTCGGTGTAAGACATTAACCTATAAGTTATTAGTTCTATTAAAGTGATCAACCGTGTAATGCAACGTTATATAATAATCTGATAGTACCTAAGCCTAAGGGCTGCAAATTTGGCGAATTGTTCAGCTTAACTGCGTCGTTTTTGTCTCTAAATTTAGATGCGGAATTGTACTATTTGCGATATTTTACCGCAACTACATGTTGCCTGATGCCTCTGACCGGTCGCTATTTTCTCCTCAAAACGAGCGATTTTCTCGTCAACAATATGATTAATGTTCCACCAACTTCATTCCATTCCAACATTCCTTTCTAACATATAACATTTAACCTCAGAGTTTGATAGGTTCCTCAACGAGAGAGCTCCCGCTCCCCCGACTACTGCCTTGACCACGTCCAACAAACAATCCCGCAAACAAGACGACGATTTGTTGGCTTTGTGAGAAAGTTCCCGTCCACGTGAATCTTTCTCTCATAGAGTCATGTGAACTTTCAGTGTATCAGTTGATAGAATTTGGTGAATTTGTTACTCAGCTGTGTATAGAACTGTGAATATAAAGAGAAACGTTAGTGACAGTAGACATTTTTGTTTCATTGTGTTGCTCATTCTTGTTTTAGTGGTTTGACTTTTATTTCGTTTTGTTGTTAAAACGATGGGGAAGTACGTATTTTGATGTCAAATTTGATGACAAAATTATCATATTTCAGACTGAAAGTAGTGGTACATTATTTGAATCTGTTTCGCGGGGTACAATCATTATTGAGAGGGAAACTAATTTGGCATCATATCATTTGTATTGAATCTTAAATGGAAGAATTTGTTTGGTATCATGACTCCTATTCAAAATGAAATCATCTCTAGTATTTTGTGGATTTTATCAGGAAAAAAATGTGATGGAATTGTTATGAACGCTTTTCTTGTAGAATGTAGATGGTGAAGAGTTTTGAACAGGCTAAAGTTTTCGGTTTTGAGCTGGACTCACGAGAGAGTTTCAGTCATTTAACTATATATTACTATATTATACTGCGACTGGTTATGAATACTATCGATTTCATTGATAAATTTGACAGTTTTCAGTCCTTAAAAGTTAAATTTTGGTGTTTATCTTCCTCACCCTATTGAGAAATGTTTTCTAAATTAAAGCAGAAGCAGCAGTATGTGCAGACACCATGGTAAGACCGGACAACTAAACTATGAAGTACAAAACTTTTAATAGAACTTTAGCATTGCTAATGGAATTTACAGACTTTCTGCCCTAACAGTAACAAAATAACGAACAGACGAAGTGATTGTGATATCCCTTTGTGGGAACTATAATTACTATAATTACAGACCTAACACGCAGAATTAGAAGTCGAAACACTTTTAACTGAATTTCTCACCCGCAACCAATTAGGTACTAATTAGTCAGTCAAATATAGATATATGAATATACAATTGAAGAATTCAACATTTCTAACATTAAAGAATCCCACAATTGCACCGCCAGGCATTCAATTTTTAAATTATTTGATAGTAACCATGTCCAGTTATATAATACGGTTCCTATATTATATAAGCAGTTGCACTAAATTGTTAAACGATTACAATTAAGTATTTTGAAATTGCAGACAGCTCTTTACAAACTCTGTTCGCAGTCAATCTCTCATTACAAATACAACATGATCTTCAGATCTCGGAACGAAACTTTATCTTATTGTCTTATTGTGCAACACTTTGACGGGTGATACTCGTAAAATATCTGTTCCATATCCAACTCGGCGCGCGTCCTGGTAGGTTGTAAACCTACATAACAAGCAACACTACGCTATTAATTCCCTTTACATACAATGAGCTATCTTAGTAATAGTATATTTAATGTCTGCAACGGTGAACGGACCGAATCACTACATGACTGAATCCCTAACGGACTGAATCACTACCAATCACTATTGGTAGGGATTGAGGTATATTTTAGGACTGAATCACTACCGGACTGAATCACTACCGCTAATATCTAAACCTAACCACTTTGATGTGATCCTGTGACGCTTCGTGGTGATTCCAGGAGTCGTGCCTGAAGAGAGGAGGGGTGGAGGTGGTTCCGATCCATGTCGACTCAAAGTATCTTGCGAAGGCAGTCATCTCAGCAGGAAGAGAAGGTTTGAGAAGCCGCCACGCCTGGTCCACATCACTGACTGGAACGAAGGGGAGAGCTCCAATCTGCATGAAGGACTTTCTGATAGGAGAGTTGTCGATAGAGTAGTCAGCAGCAAGTCCCTCGCTCTGCAGGTGTCTCCACAAGGACTGTTTGAAGTGGAAACAGGTCTGGAGAGGTCTTAAAGGTTCCATCCACGACGAGGTGATCTGACTGATAGATGATGTTGATGTTGTCTGCAGTACCAAGGAGGATAGATCTTCTGGTGTTGGTGTCGTAGGAGGAGTGAAGGTTCACATCACTGTATTGTCGTATAGCAGGTCATTATGGATGACTTGATCCGAACCAGTTCTCGTTAGGGCTCCTCGTTGCGTACGTAAGTCTGTGGATCACATGTCTGACAGGCCCCATAGCAAGCACTCCATGAGAGCACCGGCTCAGATCACGTCATGATATTAGACTAGTAAACTAAGATCAACTGGTAGGGATTGAGGTATATTTCAGGACTGAATCACTACCGGACTGAATCACTACCAGTAGTGATATTTGGGTGGTAGTGATTCCGTCCGGTAGGGATTCAGTCCTACAATCGTCTGCAACTGTGTCTATCTCTACAAATTGAACTATATAATAACCCCAGACTGGATCCTAGTACAGGGCAATGACAGAGGGTCTATACGAAAGTACGAAGGAACTACTTATTGCCTTGATACTATAGACTTATAGTTATAGAGGTTGTGCTATACATTTATTATTATCAGGCACAGCTTCTCTTCTGCATGAACTATAAGCATCACTCTCACCATTGATTAAAACTACGTCACGTGATAGTCCAGTCCCCCTTTGAACACACCTTAAAGCTTTCAGTTCTCAGATTCTCAGATAAGAGTGGTCAATGTGGGGCGAAAATTCATGGAAGCGAGGCTTCTCATGAGGTTTCATGTTTCATGATATCTATATGATATTCATTCATGATCAACCTTGTATTTTGTTACTTATCACTGCAGTCTGCACTGCAGTAACACGTGACACCACTCCGTATAACCGTTACAGATAGAAGAGATAAGATAATCTAACAAACCAGGTTGCTTAATGCTTATAGCCGTATTAGGAGATACAAGTGCTTGGTACGATGAAACATTACTATAATGAGTAGAGGACACTGTCCTCAGGACAGCGTCTAAAACAAGGGAGTGGCCTCTCTTGTTTGTAATCGAGAAATTTTCTGACGCAACGTTAACGGGTGATACTCGTAAAATATTTGTTTCAACTGAGTCCAACTCGGCGCACGTCCTGGTAGATTATAAACCTACAAACGCAACGTAATAACGCTCCCATATAATATAATGCTCCCATAATATAATGATCTGAGTATCACAGTGCTGGCAAGCACGACCGGTGCATTTACTGTGGGTATACTATGTACCCCCTTTACTATTATACCCCTTTACTATTACACCCCCTTTACTATTATACCCCCTTTGGTACACGTTACAAGCCTCTTTCGTGCACGCGAAGCGTGCACTCCGGCCGGAGGCGGCGGCCGAAGGCCGCCGCCTCCGGCAGGAGTTTTTCAGGCATTAAGACTCATCGGAAGTCGTTCAGCAGATTTATTTTTAGTTCAAAACATTCTAATTTGATGTCAAAGTTAAATTACTTTTAAATATAACTTAAACTAAAGTCTAAATAATTATCTTCAAGACCTGAGGTCCGAAATGGACGTATCTTTAAAGCTTTTGAATCTACGGACACCTAAATATAGCCTATAATTGACTGGCAAAGCGTCTATCCCTGAATATATGTATATATCACAATGCTGGCAAGCATTACCGTTGCTGTTATATTCACAATACTATTTACCCCCTATACTATTATATCCCCTTTATTGTTTTCCGGGCATTAAGACTCATCGAAAGTAGTTCAGCAGGTATATTTAAATTTTAAGTAAAAAACATTCTAATTCAATGTTAAAGATGACAGGAATAAGAAATAGTTATGTGGAGGTTTTTAAGAAATTTGCGCAAAATACGAGCCAGCATGTTATACGAAATTAGGTAAAAAACCCAAAATCGCCATATTCAGGTGCCTTAAAAACCATGTTAAAATTGAGTAAGAGATCTGAAACTTTGCATGGCGTCTAGACCTTGTCCAAATCGACTGTAAACAAAATTTCATGTTTCAGCAGTATCGGCAAGTGGGTTTTCTGGAACCCCTGTTTTACAACAGATTGTCTTGTAGCGCGATGCACTACTGGGTCGCGCGCGCATCAAATAATGCTTCTCGCAACCACTTCGGTAGATCGGCGAGATGCACCACTGTGCCTCACCGAGCTGCGAAGGATTGACATCGTGAATCAACAGATTGTCGTGAAGTATATATATGTATATATCAATATGTATAGATGTATTTTACCAAAACCCATAATCATGGGTAGAGTGGACCGCTGCCAGTGTCTCTCTTTCCCAAACAAAAGGAAATGATATTAATTTGATTGACCGTTCTCAAATGCAAAATGATACCGAGAATGAAATCGGTCGCTCGCTTTTCCCATTCATTCACGGCTTACGAATTGTAATAAGTTTCGATTGATTACATCAATCAGATGCTGTAAAAATCTCTTTGGGTTGCGTTCGGGTCGATACCTAGTATTTCGGGGTAAGGGTGGTAGTTATTACTTATTGAATTAGCTGAAGTTTATTGAATCTTTATTGCCGAGTACAGCTGCCTTTGGGTAGTTTTTCTTAATCTATTACAATTGTAAATGAATGGGAAAAGCGAGCGACCGATTTCATTCTCGGTATCATTTTGCATTTGAGAACGGTCAATCAAATTAATATCATTTCCTTTTGTTTGGGAAAGAGAGACACTGGCAGCGGTCCACTCTACCCATGATTATGGGTTTTGGTAAAATATCATCTCTTTTTGATTATAATGTCAGGGTACTTTATAAAGTCAAAATATAAACTAGTATATCTTCATTAATAAGGAGGAAGTTTCAACGATTTCGAAATTTTTCCTTTAAAAACATTTCCTTGTGTTTAGGTAAGCATATCGGTCGATCACTGACTGAATATGCCACTTAATACTCATTCAAGTTGGCATTAAATTCATATATAATGACATTAAATTGTCGTGGCAAAGCAGAATTTGTTGGAAATCACGAATGAGCAAAATTCTCACCTTTCGCACGTGCAAACTTTGAGTGGACGTTGCGTGCGCATCCAGTATTGAATCGCCGTAAATTTTTGCATGTAATTGTTTTATATATAGCTTGATAAGCATGCAAAGTTTCAAAGTATTTTAAGAAGAACTGTAATCACAACGGCACTCTAAAGTTGACAGAAAATGACGAAAACAGCAATTTTCAGTGATTTTAGCAATTTTCTATCAATTTAGCCGTGTCCCCACGTGTGCAACTTTTCGATTTTCAACTTTAAATCTAGCCTAATGCACAATTTATACCTATAGAAAGCAGAACTGAGCTCCACAACCCAAGGCATGGCCCAACACCAGAGAATACTAAATCGCAAAATTGACGTTTTTATAAAATAATTCTTCAAAAAAGCACAAACTTCAATGACAAATATCTTTATGAGGGAGCAAGCTAGAAAAACTTTCCGGTCGATTTTCAGAATGCTTGAACAATTATCTAAGATGAAAATTTCCTCAGATTTTGAATACAATTACTTTTTTATGGTGTAAAATCATTTTTAAAAGTTATTACTTTGTCAAAAATCAAGTTTTAAAAACGGTTAACTTGATGACGTCATCAAGGGGTGTTCATGACGTCAAATAATTTTTTTATACAATGTAAACTAAAGTGTAAACAATTATTTTCAAGACCTGTGGTCGGAAATGGCTGTATCTTTTATACTTTTGAATCTACGGACAATTAAATACAGGCTACAATTGACTGGCAAAGCGTCTATCCCTGAATATGTATAATATAGATATC